AAAAAAAAAAAAAAAAAAAAAAAAAAAAAAAAAAAAAAAAACACCAATGCACATAAAATAAAAATAAATAAATGGAAATACTATCAGAATCTCCACAACATTAGTAAGGTCTTCATCCAATGCATGCTAAATTACAAGGATTTTTGTGTTTACTGAGAATGCCTGTAACAGAGGTACACATATAAGAGGTACACATTAAATGACTGGTAAGTATTGAAAGAACCGTTCATTTACAAGCATGAGATTATGGTTATTTTAAAATACAAATATAGCTGGTGGGTTCCCTATCCATCCATGGACTCAACTAATCATAGATCAAAATATCTGAAGCAGGACCAATGTGATACCTTAGGAGGTAAAGGCACTTGTTGCCCAACCTGACGACCTAAGTTCAATCTTCAGAACCCACACTTGTAGAAAGAGAGAATCAACTCCCACATCGCTGTCCTCTGAACTCTACATAGATGCTGTGGCGTGTGCACGCCCCTCCATTCACAAATAAATACAATAAAAATGTCTAAATCATATCTAAAAGCACCTTTCACCTTACCATTCCTCCCTAAACACTAGGAAATAACTCTTTAGACAAGGTTTAAGTTGTGTTAGGGCTGTGCACTGATGGTACACTCCTGTAATCCTCGGACTCTGGAGGTGGTGGTAGGACAGGTGTTCAAGGCCAGCCTTAGCTGGCCAAACTTAACATATGGAATTTGAGGCCAGCCCGAACTGCATGAGACCCTGGCTCAAAACCATAAACAACTATGACAGCATTGAGTTAGGTAATAGACTTAAGGTCATATACAAATATTATACTACATTATGAACAACTACACGAGGGGGGGGGGGAGAAGAGGAAGGAGATAGAGATACACAGGGAGATGGGGTGAATCAATTCCCTACAGAAAGTCTACTGTTCTGTGGCATCAGGGACCATACACTTTTAGAAGAACTAAGGTGAAAGAGTACTTGAAAGTGATGCACATTAGTAACAGTACAAAGGTGGGCAGAAAGCCAGGTCTGGCAACATTGCACTTGCACCTGGAAAGCTCAGGCAAGATTATTTACAAGTCCAAGGGCAGTCTGTGCTGTATCCTAACACTCTAACT